CGCTCCCGGACTGGCATGCGCGAGGCCGCGGCGCTCGGGCGCCCCCCGGCGACGGGAGACGAAACGCAGGCAGTGTTGGGGCCTGAGCGCCTGGACCGGAGTCTGCCGGCGGCAAGAGGACCCGGCAGAGAGCGCCTGGGGGCGGAGTCTGCGGGTATTTGCACACGCGCACGCGAGCGCGGTCCGCTGGTCGCACAACCCAGACTCCGCGCCTTAGGACGCGCACCCCGGAAGGGGGCGCGGGAGAGGCGCCGCGGCGTCACCCCGCCTCCGTTTGCATGAAGGCACGCGGTTGGCTGGCTGCGCAGGGTCGACCCGCCCCCGATTCTGAAGCCGGAAGGGCGCGATGCAGCGAATCCTGGACTTCGCGGCGACCCCGACCGCTGGGCCCACCGCCGCAGCCCACGATCACGTCCCCACGGAATCCCCAGCCTCCGCCCGCCTGTCGGTCATTCGGGTCGTCCCGCTCAGTGTCACCTGTCCCACAGCCGCGGATCCGCGCCTGGCTCTGCTGCCGGGAACGCAGCTGTGCAGGAACTGCGTACCGATCCGCTATCCGGAGCGTCTGGCTGCCGGGGCGGGTCTAAGCGCGGTGGGTGGAGCCTGTGAAATGTTGACGCCCGGGTTTGAGTCTGCCTTCTAGGAGCACTGTCTGGACCTATTCACTTCCCAAATCTATTTGTTGGAAAACATGGGTAGTTTTCCCAGCTTGACTTAGTTTTTTAAGTAATTGTACTTTTAAAAAAATTCCCTTGTGATTCTGTGTGTAAGCAGAGGTCAGCTCAGGTTATTGGGCGTCTTCCTCTGCCTCCCCATCTTTTTTGATACTGATGCTCCCCGTTTTGACTAGGCTCGCTGGCCAGCGAGCTCCCAGGTAGATGTGCCTGTCTCTACTCCTAGCACTGGGATGATAGCCTCATGCACCCCACCCCTGGCATCCTACGATGGGTACTGAGGATTCGAATCTTCACCTGCATACTTGGGTAACAAGCACTTTAACAATGAGTCATTGCCCCACCCCTAAAAAAAACGTTTAGACTTTTTGATGTTAATTAGGTGTGCATGCCACATGAGTGCGACTGCTGAAAGGCCAGAGCTGTCAGGTTCCTGGAGCTGGAGTTACATTAAATATATTTATTATTAAATAGTTTTTGATAGCCAGGCGGTGGTGGCACACGCCTTTAATCGCAGCACTCAGGAGGCAGAGGCAGGCGGATCTCTGTGGGTTCGAGGCCAGCCTGGACTACAGAGGGGTTCCAGGACACCTAGGACTGTTACACAGAGAAAGCTTGTCTAGAAAAAATAATAAAAAAAAGTTTCAATTTGCCCCTTTCCCCTTATTCTTACTGCATTTTGTGTGTGTGCTCCCCTTCCTCAGTGTGTGTTCTGGAGCGGAACTCAGGTTGTCACGCCCCATGGCAAGTGCCTGTACCAGCTGAAGTGTCTAACAAGCCTTTTGCTATTTGGGGGAGGGGGATAGAATCAGGGTTCCACTATGTTAGCCAACTTCAGGATACCGATGGCGTGAGCTGGCGGTGGGCTTTATTTAAGCCGGGGCATGATTCGGATAAATAGGATCATGCTGATGAACACGAAGCACACAATGATGAGCATGGCCCACAGCAGCCAGTTCACTGACTTCTGTGCGTGCTGCTCCAGGCGCTCCGATTCCATCTTCAGCTTCTCCAGGTTCTGATCGGCCATCTTCAGAGAGTGTGACAGGGTCTGTGGGAGAAGCGGGGGCTGTCAACGGGACTGAGACCAAGTGTGACCACTGCCTCCTGCGTGGTTTGTGCAGTCCTAGCTGATGCTGTGCCCCCTGCTGGGTATCCCTCAGCCACCCCTCCTTGGGCTTTACCAAATCCTGCTGAGCCTACAAACACCAACACTGGTCACAATTTCATCCCTCTTCTGCAGACCTTCCTCAGTGCCCCAAGGCAGAGCTGCAGTGTTCCCACACCTGGTTGTCCTTCTTGATGACACTCTGGGCGGCTAGTGTGTTGGTCTTGAGGCTGCGTGCCAGGCCTAGCATTTCCTCTGCCAGCTTTTCCTGGAGGCCCTGGTGCCTCTGGAGGACGAGGTCGAGTTCAGACGCTGAATGCTTCTCATCTGCAGGTCTAGGCCCCTTTGTTCTGCCGACCCCACATGTAGTGGGTACCCAGGAGTGACAGGGAGAGATAAAGACACCCACATGGCGCCTTCCCAAGGATCCCTCAGTTCTGCCCGGGACTCAGTTTCTCCTGCTTTTTTACATTCCACGAACAGCAACCCAGAAAGGGCTACCAGTGGGCAGTGGGTCCTTGTAGTCCACCTCAGAGGCCCCAGCTTCATCCAGCGCCCCCTTTCCCCATCTCTCAGTGGCTAAGATACTCACATGCGCTTCCTCATGTCCATCTCAAGCTCTGGAAGCAAAAGAGGCCAAGGATGAAGGTTGATTTCCTGTTTCCAACTCTTGCCCTTGACCTGTGCCAATTCTGCTACCCAGAATGCTGTTCGGCCTGTGAACTACTGTCCCCTGGACTCATCATACTCGAAAGTCCTAGGTAGAGTGACATGTAGAACACCCGTCCTACCCCCAAGGTGCCAGGCCCCTCCCAGTGGCCTAGCATTGCACTGGGGTGCTTGATGACGTCTCTCCTGGGGACCTCTTCTCTTCCTCAGCCCCCCCCCCCCCCCGCATTACTCAGTTGACCCTGGGTGGCCTGCTTCTTGGACTGGGAAAAATCAAACCAGGCAGGCAGTAGGGACAGTCAAGTCCTCGGCATGACTCACCCCCAGATGGCTCCTGTGGGGAGAATGGAGAGGCATGAGGTCATGTACTTTGATGTTGTCCCTAAATCTCTCTACCTTAGGATGACCCACGTGAAGTGCTCTGAGGTACTGTAAAGAAACTGACTCAAATTCTGATGGGGGCCAACTCTGGGGCTTAAACAGACATGCTCCTTCCCCTTTTTTTGGAGACAGGATTTTACTGTGTAGCCCTGGCTGTCCTGGAACTTGCACAGTAGACCAGGCTGGCCTTGAACTCACAGAGATCCATCTCTGCCTCCCGAGTGCTGGGATTAAAGGCGTGTGCCATCACCATGGTTTATTCCTCCCATGAACCAATTCCTATTCCTTGTCTTGAGCACTTTCTCTGAGAAAGCCTTGTCTGTGGGCCCTCCAGAGTTTCTGGCACTATGTTCGATCTCTGTCCCTGTACAGACTACGCTGTTGCTGTTACGAGGATGGTCCCAGGGACAAAGGAGGGAATCCTACCGTGCCCAGCAGCTCACTCCGCATCTCACTGGTGTAACGTGCCCGGGACTGCAAATGTACAGTCTTGGTGGCAGGCACTCGCTCCCTGGCTGTGGTGGGCACGCGGCCAGGAGCCAGGAACTGGTTAGCTAGAGCCTTCTCGGAGGAGGAGGTCTGAGGGAACGTGGGGAGGATAAATCACTGGAGGCTGTGTCCAGTCCTTGGGGGCCATAAAACCCGAGGGGTGGGAGGACGGGCTCACCAGCTTCTCAGCCTGCAGCATGCCCTTCAGGAAGTCCACCTTGCGTGAGTACTCGCTGATGACTTCGGAGACAGGTTTGCTGAAAGGCAGCAAGAGGAAGTCAACCTGCCACTGTAGCAGCATCGGAGAGGATTTCAGTGCCGCACACTCACCTGGCTTGGATTTTCAGGGCCTGCAGCATGTCTTCCAGGGCACCCACATACTGCAGGGAAAGGGAGTGTGTCAGCCAGGCCAAGACCCCAAGGACTGCTTGCAAGAGAAAGGGGTGGTCCCAAGGGGCGCGGCCACTAGGAGGGGCGGGGGTCATGGGCCGGGGGAGGGGCATATGACCATGACGTGGCACAGAGAGGGCGTGGCATGTGCACGAAGGGATGAGATCAGGGAGAGCAACCTGGGCGTCTAGGACCTGTGCTCCAAGGGGCGGAGCCGCACTTGAAGTGCAGCACCAACCGGAAGGGGCGTGGCCAGTGAGACGGCTCATCTGCCTCTAGGGTTCGAGGCCTCTGCGGGAGCGTGGGAGTCCCTCACCTTCTCCAGACGCCACTCGTTCGGCTCCCGCTTTTCTGCCGCCATCGACTCGCAGCGACACAGCAACCGCACAAGGTTCAACTCCAGCCGCGACGTCGCCAGCGGGCGGTAAGCGGCCCTTTCCGCCTGCGCCATCTTAGAAAAGGGCGGAAGTGCCTGTAAGGGGGCTTGCCTTTGGGTGTCTGTTCTTTCCTCTCCGAGGTCCGCCCTGCTGGGCTTCGAACGGAAGTAAAGTTTTGTTTCAAGCCGCGGCGCTGCGTCTGCCATGTTCAAAGATAAATCGTTTTTGTGCTTTTGTTGTTGTTGTTTAAATAAGAGAGCATCTTTTAAAGTTGTACTTTTGTTGTTTGACCTTTTTTTCTTATTTTGGGCAGAATCTCTAACCCAGACGGGCCTTGGAGCCGCCGATCACACTCGGGAAGCGATGGCTGGCAGGACCGGAAGGGCCGTCGCAGCTTCGGACCCACGCGCAACGCTCCCCGGTCACTGAGTTCCGCTCGCACAACTGCCCAGTGCGCATCTTTCTGAGCGCTCCGTAGCCAAACCCCAGCATTCGCTTTCTCCTTTCGCCTGGGGCTTTCCCCGAGCCTGACTTGATGACTTGCCAGGTGGGCGCTTCCGTCGGACAGACCGGCTAGTTTCCAGCCCTGGTAGTCTGCCTACCGAGCTCTGACCCAGCCGTTTCTATCCTCAGCCAAGATTCTTTCCATTCTGTAATAAATCATTATGATCCATTTTATGAAAATGGAGCTCGCCAGCGAATCACAGACCATCAGGAGGCAATAGGCCTCCTTATTTGTTTTGGTTTTCAAGACAGGGTGTCTCTGTGTTGTAGTCTTAGCTGTCCTGGAACTCACTTTGTAGAACAGGTTGGCCTCGAACTCACAGAGATACGCCTGCCCCTGTCTCCCGAGTGCTGGGGTTAAAGGCGTGCGCCACTACTATTCGGCTCATCCAGCACACTTTTTTTTAAAAACATTTATTTATTTATTATGTGTACAATGTTCTCTCTGCATATATGCATATGCAGAAGAGAGCACCAGATCTCATTATGGATTGTTGTGAGCCACCATGTGGTTGCTGGAAATTGAATTTAAGACCCCTGGAACAGAAGCCAGTGCTCTTAACCGCTTAGTGATCTTTCCAGCCCCTCATCCAGCACTCTTAATATGAAGTGAGGATTTTTTTTCTTATATTGCCCACCTCTGAAATTGAGCCAGCTTTCTTAACTCTGTTGGAAAAGCAGCTGCTACATTTCTCTGCCTTAAGGGGACAGGACCCAAGTGGGGGGCCAGATCTGGATCACATCCAATACTTAGCATCCTATAGGAATATAGGAATCCAATGTCAATCCAATCAGGCCACTCAGTGTGTGTATGTACACACGCACACACATGTCTGTAAGCATTCGTGTTTGCATGGAGGCCTGTTCCCTGTGGAGGTCAAAGGGCAACCTCAGTGTCATTCTTCTCTCCCATCTCCCCCTCTCTCTCAACAGTCTCATCAGACCAGGCTGGCCTTGAACAAAGATCTGCCTGTCTCTACCTCCCAAGTGCTGGGATTAAAGATATGCAGCAGCATGCCTGAGTTCGAGATACAGTCTCTGGCCTCTGTAGGCTGAGCTAGCTAGCTCTTCCCAACACTGGGATTACAAGCCCTCAGTACTACACCCAGCTTTTAGTGTTTTGGCTTTGTATTTTATTTAAATTATATGTATGTGTGTGAGTCCACATGCATGTATGGATTCATGCCTGTAAGTGCAAATGCCCATGGAGGATCATCTGGAACTGGGATCACAGGTGGTTGTGAACTCCCCAAAGTGGGTGCTGGGACTCGGAATCAGGTCCTCTTCTAGAGCAGTATGTGCTCTTAACCACTGAGCCCCTCTCCAGTCCCTCCCATGACTTCTGAGAATGAGAAGTGTAAGGCAAACCATCTCAAATCTGAGCAAGTTTCTAACAAACCCTGGGCTGGGCTCAGCAGTTAGAAGCTTGTGGTGCTCTTGCAAGAGTACCTGAGTTCAGTTCCCAGCACCCCATGTCAGGTAGCTCACGATTTCCTGTAACTCCCGCTCCAGGGGTTCTGACACCTCTGACCTCTTCAGGGACCCGCATTCACACACACACACACACACACACACACACACACACACCCACGCACAGACACACAATTAAAACACACACATTTTAAACTGGGCATGGTGGATCATGCCTTTAATCCCAGAACTCAGGAGGCAGACAGGCAGATCTTTGAGGTTGAGGCCAGCTTGGTCTACAGAGTGAGTTCCAGGACAGCCAGGACCACACAGAGAATCCTGTCTCAAAAAATCATATATATTAATATTTAAATATGAATAAATATATATTTAAACTTTAAAAAACAAAAATGGCATTGGCTCCGCTGATACTGAGTTAGGGTGTGAGGGTCGTGTGGTCATGGGACCTGAAAGGACAGTAGGTGCTGTTAACTTTTGAGCCAACTCTACCAGGCCGTTTGAAGACAAAGCCTCACTATGCAGCCCCAACTGGCCTCAAACTCACAGATCCTCTGTTGGAGTTAAAGGTGTGCGCCGTATTAGCCCCTGCATACCATCGTGAATACCATATGAACAGAATGCCTTTCCTTTCTAAGATGGAGTGACCCTGTGTTGTTTGTGTGCACCTTATGTGTTGCTGTGACCTGCGTGTCTTTAGGACTGACCCAACTGGGTGACACAGGATGAAGAAACAACAGACATGTACAGAAAAGCTGGCATTGGGTGAGACTTTTTAATTTTAAAACTATATTTATTTGTGTGTAAATAAACTATATAAATAACTATAAATAAAATATAGTTTATTGTATAATTAAACTATATTTATTTATATGTGCTCCTGTGCCCTATGTCACAGTGCACAGAGGACTTGGGGGAGTTGGTTCTCTTCCACCATGTGTGAGTCCACCTGCCACTGCTACTGACTTCATGTCAAGGGAAGGTCACCTGGGTCCTGCTCACTTCAGAAATACCCTGGAGGACACTGAACCCAGGGTTCACAGAGGGACTCTGGGGAGTGTCAGGTGTGACAGCCTTCCCTCTCCAGCTTCGTGACTTGGGGCAGGCAGAGTGCTGTCAGTATTAGTCGTGTTGAGCTTGCCTTGAATCTGAAACACAAAAGTGCTGTGCATGCCTTGATGCCCACATCTGTCCAAGGGGCTGGGACATGGCTCAGAGGGTAAAGAGGCTGCCCTGAAAAGGACAAGGGCTTGCATTCAAATCCCCAGCACTCACATAAAGAACCAAGTGTAGTCTACAGTCTGGGGCCAAATTTGAGTCTGCCAGACTTCAGGCTGCCCTGCAGTGGTCCTGTCCATTTAGGATCAAGGACGACATGAAAAGGTGGTGGCACTGGGGAGAGGATCTAGGTTCAATTTTCAGCACCCTCAATGGCAGTTACACCCATCCACAGCCCTAGTTCTAGGGGAGCTGAGATCCTTCTTCTGGCTTCCACAGGCATCAGGCATGCACAAGGTACACAGGCATACACATTCTGTCAAAACACCCATTAACATAAAATAAAAATACATAAGCCTCAAAAAAATTTAAAAAGGCAAGGGCAACCTTCCTGAGGTCTGGAGAGGGGGACCTCTGGGGTGAACTTCCCTTGGAATTTTCATGTGTGGTCCAGCAGGAGGAGAAGGAGGAGGCAGAGGGCTCCCAGAAAGGTCCTGTAAGGCTTGTTCTCCAGTCTGGCCCTTCATCCTGCTAGATCTCAGCAAGACCAATGGACAGAAATGGACTGTGTTCAGAGGGGTCCTTGCAAAAGCACACTGAGCCAGCCCTGGGGATTCAGCTGAACCTCTGGATGGAAGGAAGCTCAGCTTCTTAGACTGGAGACACGCCCCAGGCAATCCCCATGATCCAGCTTCGGAACAGATGCAAGCTGGCCCGAGGCCCACTATGTGTTGGAGCCATCTGCCCCGGAAGCAGATGAGGGTGACATGAGACAAGGGCCTCCTCGCCACTGTACCCACTCAAATGCACCTGACCCTGAGAAGACTCCTGTGCTTTTGGGTGGGGGTGAGGGCAGAGGTCAATGTAATGGTCTGTTCTGTCCCTTTAAGAGAGAAGCCACGCCCACTCCCTTCCCGGTCCACTGAGGCAGGCTGATCTTCAGCTTCCAGCCTTGAGTCCTTCCCTTTCTGTCTCCCCCTTCTCCCCTTCCCTCTTCTGTTTCTCTCTCTTCTTCTTCCCCTCCATAACCCACTAAATAAATATCCAACCTCACTCTGCATGATATGCATAAACATGTCTCTGTCACTTGCTGCTGCATGGACCAGCTGCCTTTGGAGACCTATGGCGTGGTCTCTTGGCGTGCCCATCTATCTGTCTCTCCTCATGGGACTCGCTGCCCCATCGAGGTCTCTCACCCACCACGTGGCTCCCTCCCTGGCTGTACTCAGACCCACAACCCACTGTCTGCTGCCAGGGATCTGAGGCGTGATCTCGGGACCTACTGCCCGCTGCAGCCACCCAGGGACCTGCAGCATTTTTAATTAAACCACATCAGTAAGGTTTATATAGCTTTGGTTGGCTTGAAACTCATTATGTAGACCAGGCTGACCTCAAACTCAGAGATCCATCTGCTTCTGCTTCGAGTGCTGGGATTGCAAGTGTGCACCGCACCACATGTCCTTTGGCTTTTAATAAATAAAGACTATTTTATAGTCTTTTATAAAAGACTATAAATTTTTAAAAAGGTCAGTCAGGTGTAAGGAGTAGTCTGGTTCTATAATCTCAACACTAGATGGAGCCAGCTGGTCATTCAAGGAGCTCAGGTTTAGAGCTGTCTCAAAGATAAGGAGAGCCATGGAGCAAGACCTCCGGCTTCTACACATGTATACAGAGATAAGTTTAAAAAAATTTTTTTTCTCTGTTACAGAACTCAGCTCTATAGACCAGGCTGGCTTCAAACTCATATTCCCCTGCCTCTGCCTCCCAAGTGCTGGGATTAAAGGCGTGTGCCACCATTGCATGGCAAAAATATTTTTTTAAACTACTAAGAGCTACCTGCTGTACCACCCCTATTCCCCAGTCTCATGCCTAGGAAGCAACCATTCCCACCCCAGGCAGAGAGGGTGCTGCAGGCCCCACGAGAGCAAACACAACCCTAATTTGAATGGAGGGCTGCGACTGGCAGGACACCCTGGTCACACTTCTCTCCTGGCTATATAAGCAGGTTCTTTGCTTGCTTTGATAGGCAGTCTGGTGATGCCCTCCTGTGTCCTTATGATGTACTAGCACAGGGTTTCACAAAAGGCTAAAGCAGTCAGTTCTTTGTGTGATGGGCATACTATCTAGTCCTGGAAATTGCTATGTAGACCAGGCTGGCCTCAAACAGTGTTGAGTTCACCTGCCTCTGCCTTAGGAGTGTTGGTATTAGTATACCTGGCTTGTTATTGAGACGTGGCTGGCCCATGTATGTATCTGGCCTGGTTAGTTTTATGTCAGCATGACACAAGCTATAGTCAACAGAGAGGGCACAGGAAACCTCAAATGAGACAATCTTTATAAGCTGGAGCTGTAAGCAAGCCTATGGGCATTTTCTTAGTGAATGGTGGGGCCATCCCAGACCTGGTCATGGATTCTGTAAGAAAGCAGGCTGAGCAAGCCAGTAAGAAGCAACTTCCATGGCTTTTGCATCAGCTCCTGCCTCCAAGGTTCCTGTCTAGTTTGAGTTCCTGTTCTGACTTTTAATGATGAATAGT